GTGTATAAGAGGGCTACTGATATTTTGAGTTGTATCCTGCCACATCACTGAAGGTATTTATCAGCTGTAGACAAAAAGCAAGACAAAAGCACTTTCTACTGCATGATATTATATTGTGGGAGGGTAACAGCAAATGAATGACAAATACACACTATGCAGTAGCAAGGGCTGTGGAGAAACTGAAACATAATGAAAGGATAGCAAATGATAAGAGGAAGGCATATTTCCCAATGTAAATATAAATCCTGAATCCTGCCTAACTGAAGCATAACCTAGAGTAAGGTGATTAACAGCCGTGTAGTTACTGGAAGAGAACAAAAAGACATAGAAACAGTCACAAAGTACAAAGTGATGAGATGAGAAGACAGCCTAAGACACCAGGGGGCTGGAATTCAGATATCAGAGGCTCCAGAAATGCAATAAGTATTCAAAGGTATATTGTATGGAGCATGTGCACTGTATAACCAATGAATGCTCCCTGACTGAAACAGAGATCTTTGTGTGCCTGTCAGAATTGCCTTGACATAGTATGACTTCAGTGTCACTAGGATAACTCTGGCTGTTTGATCATCCTTGTTATTGCAAAATCAATCACAGGAAGTATAGAAATACTGATGACATAATCAAAGCTGGAATTGAGGAGGTCTTGCAGAGCATAAAGGAGGAGGGATGATCAATTGTAAGTGGATTAGGAAATAGAGCCTAAGTCTGTGAACTAATTTGATGTGGGTGAGACAGAAAGAGGAGACTCCAGGGTGACAATGGGGATCTGCTGTTTTCATAACTGACTGTGAGGTCCGTTGTGCTGTCATGCAAGGACTTGTAGGCAAGTTTGTGGAAAATAAAGGGTTGACATATTGTAATTGATTATTAAAAATTGTTGCAGGATCCCCAGCAGGAAGGGGGCAGTGGGTCCTAAAAGTAGCTAGTCCCAAGTAGGGCTGGGGTGCGAGGCCACGTGGCAGGTCTCCAAAGGTGGCTGGTTTCTGGTGGCGTCCTTGGCCGGCAAGCCATGTGATGGGGGCAGGTGGACGAAAGACAGCTAGGCACACCATGCAGATTAAAGTTGGACATTTATTAGGTGGGTTATGGAGGGGATGGGAAAAGGGGAGAAGAGGAGATAAAGAGAGAGAGAGAGAGAGAGAGAGAGAGAGAGAGAGAGAGAGAGAGAGAGAGAGGAGAGAGTGGAGAGGGAGAGAGAGACAGAGAAGGGAGGAAGGGGAGAAGTGGGGAGAAGCAGAAGCCGCCTCCTCAGCAGAAGATGGAGAAGAGAGAGACTAAGGCTGCAAGCAGGAAGAGAGTGGGCATGGATTGTCTCTGAAAGGAACAGAACAGATAATTACATTCCCATCTCTTTTTTAGAATAAAATAAAGGAGGTTAGGCACCACAGGTTAAAGGAATTGGGTTGACGGATTCTCAAGGCTACTTCCTGCTTATTTGTGAATGTCTTCTTTTGGGGGGAACCTGAGAAGGCTGGGTGCTGGTCACATCCTGGTATGATTGGTCTCTTTGCTCCTGTCTGGTGTTTGTGGTCTGGAAATGTCTGGTATTTCTTACACCTGTTTAAGGTATTGGCAGAACAGAGGACAACGTTAAGTTAAGGGGAAAAAACTTAGTACCGGGGAATTGAGGGGGGTATATCTGACCTGTTTAAAGTGGATCCTTCAATTCGGTTCCCTGGAATTCACAAGAATCTTTGGGTTTGTGAAAACAGAAGTTTTAGACATAAACGTTGAATAAACAGTAGCATATTTATGTCAGAAAGACTGTGACAGATTATTTTTTTTGCACATTGAAAAGTATTTTTAAGACTATGGAAGGCAGCACGAGAAAGAAGTTTGATAACTTCTATTTGCCCTCACACCTTTATAACTTGCAAGTCTTGTATTTGTATTTTGTTGAAATTTGTTTGGTGAGGTTGTCCTTTTAAACTGACAAAGCCTCTCAGCTGTAAAAACTGCATCAGAGATCTTTGAGAAGGACAAAATTTTACTTGAGTTACTGATTAAAAAAAGACAGAGAACTCACTTGGTTGACACTCAGAGCTACTCCTCAGGCTCCTCCATGGTCACTGAAGGTCGCATTTGCCTTTTGCTGTTTAATGCAGGGCCTGCCAGGCTCCAGAAGATCTTGTGGGCTGAGAAATCTGTAGGAAGACAAGCCTACCTTGACCTGAGCAGCTAGGCTGTCAATTTCAGTGATTCTGTCCACGTCAGGTGATCTTCAGTTTAGATGAAAGACAGTTTTTCCCAGTGGTCAGCACTTCGCAATTGAAGCGAATTGCAGATGGATGTTGTTCTGTGCATTTGTCTTCTGTCTTCTTTGGAGGAAGTAGAGTGCTGCTGCTAGGAGCCAACGTCTCTCTTTTTGTTATGAGAAGTTTTTGATGATTAAATATCTAAATGCCATATTCCCCAAATGTCTGAGCAGTTGAGGACTGTTTATCAGGTAAAACTATAGTATAGAATCTGCCTGGAAAGCTGGATCTGAGCCTGACTGCACTGGCTCTCAACTTAACAGGTTAAGATTTACACTTGTAAAAAAGACAGAAAGAAGAAAAAACTGCTTGCAATAGAAGATTAATGACAGAACTGACAATAGTAGAGAACAGCTTAATATATTTTACACGAGGGTTGGATTAAATATAAACTATTTTTGCAAAAAATGTAAAAGTATATACCAGTTTAAAACATGATACTTATTGTTTTTGTAGTCTGAAATAAGATGTAATGGATAATTATAACAAATTTAAAAAAAAAATACCTGGGAGATCCGACCCCCAGAGAGGAACTGGAGTGGGAGAGTGTATCGAGTCTTAGCACCAATGTAATGGATTTTTAAAGATTGTTATGGATCCCTGAGTAGCTTGCTTGTTGGATCTGTCTCTTGCCCACCAGCCACCAACATGGCTCCCCACTTCTCCCTTTCCCCCTTCTTTGTCTCTCTCCCTCCCCTCTTCTCCCCCTTTTCCTTCCCCTCCATAACCCACCTAATATATGTCCAACTTCACTCTGCATGGTGTGCCTGTCTGTCTCTTGCCCGCCCATGGCCCACAGGGCTAGCCACTGGGAACCAGTCACCTTTGGAGACCTGCCGCATGGTCTCACACCCTGGCCCTGCCCGGGACTGGCTGCCCTCGGGACCCACTACCCCTGCCTGCCGGGGATCCCACAGTCAGCTACTTGGGGATCTGCAGGAATCTTTAAAAATCCATTATACATATGAGATCTGAGCCAGTTAAATAACCAACAATTAAACTCGAGTCAATAGACCTGACAGTAATTGTATTTACCTGCCAAGCCTTCTTAATATACTTGATACATTTTTTTGAGACAAAGTCTCAAGTAGCCCAGATTAGCCCCTAACTCACTACCAAACATGACCCTCTTAACCTTCTCCCTGAGTTCCAGAATCACAAAGATCCACAAACACCTGCTTTTGATGAGGTGCTGGGGGATAAACCCAAGGCCTTGTTCATACTGGAAAAGCTCTCTACCAATTGACCTACATCTCCAGTGCACTGTTAGATTGCTTTCATAAACTAAAAGATTCAGAAGAAAATAGTGAATCTAAATAATGACTTGAGGACACGGAAATATTGTTTTGGATTATATAATTATAACACAGAGTTTAAGGGTAAAGAAGTTTTATATTATTGTAAGTTTATATTCTTCATGGAGATGAGTTCCTTGTCAAGAAAAAGACACAAGGAAAGTAAATCTAGACAAAATAAGAATTATTTCAGCAAAACACAGTAGCTGAACTTACTGAAATGTTTTGAAAACAAAGTAACACAGACAAAAGCAGATCTATGTGATCAGCAGAGAGATTTGGCATTGATTAAACACTGATGTAAATTGCCAATTGTTATTATTTATTTTTCAGTGTGTAAAGCTAGATGTATGTTGAATTTCTATTTATTTGAAAGCACACACTGAGGGAAGTGTGCACAGATGGACAAGATGTGACATCTCAAATTTCACATAAAGTGTTCCAGTTCTAGTTAGATGCAACACAGTTACTCATGATTTTATACTTGATAACTTGATGATGCTGGCGAAAAGTCACCTGCAGATTTTATATTATTTTTCTTTATTTAAGAAATATTTTTTTCTATAATGAAAGGGTTAATTGAGAGTTAGTACAAATTTGATCGAGTTTCCTTTCTATTTATGATATAAACACTGTGACCAAAAGAATTTCTAAAAGAAAATGTTTTTTTGGACTTGTGCACTCTGCCCACAGTCCATCACTTGGGGGAGTCTGGGCAGAAGCTCGGCAGGGTCAGAGGCAGGATCAATAGAACATGACATGGCACTTCATTTGTAGTTTAATAAATAAAGCTTACCCGAAGATCAGAGAGTATAACAGCCTCAATGGTCAGCCTTACAGTCCAGGTAGTGGTAACATACACCTTAAATCCCAGTAGTCACACTAGTTGCCATAGAAACCAGGTGGTACCTGCTTTTAATCCCAGTGGTACATGCCTTTAATCCCAACCGGAGAGAGGATTATAAAATGGGAGGATATCTCTCAGACATAGCATCATTCTGAGATTCCTGGAGGCAGGATCACCATTTCAAACAGAGGTAGAGGTAAGAGCTGTGTTGCTCTTCTGGCCTTCATGTTGAAACCCAATTTCTCTCTCTGAGTTTTTATTAAGCATGCTTCAAGAAGAATATTGTTTATTGTCTTGCTCCCCATAGTTTGATAATGGTTTCTTAATGTACCCAGGACCACCAGCCCATCAGTGGTACAATCAACAGTGGTCTGGAAGCTTCCACATCATCAATACTCAATCAAGAAAATAGCACATAAAGGTGCTCCCAGGCCAATCTAATGGAGGCACTTCCTCAAATGAGATTTTCTTCTCCAAAAGGACTACAGCTTATATCCTGTTGGCCGAAACAATCAGCATAATATTTATGGGAACTAGTCAACATCAGAACATAAACTGCACATTGAAAACTCAGGGCTAAGCATAAAAGTGTCTTGAATCTCTTGCAACTTACTCTCCCTTCTTTCTTTCAGGGCCTTTTTATCAACACTCATGGGTCAGTATTTCTCTGATACATCTAAGAATGATGACTGTGGAGAGTTGACGTCCAGCTTTACTACATATTTTAAGATGACTAACACAGAAAGCAAAATCATTACTCAGGAAATCATCGATTCAATTGAGCTACATCTGACCAAAGGAAACATTCAGGGGGCAAACTCTGTAATCAGGGATGCATTAAAAAATATTGATAACATCCCAATAAACGTTGCTATTACTGGGGAGTTTGGAGCAGGGAAGTCCAGCTTGATCAATGCCCTCATGGGGGTGGGACCTGAAGATGAAGGTGCAGCTGAAGTTGGGGTGGTACCGACAACTATGAGGAGCACTCCATACAAACACCCCAAAATTCAAACTTTGACTCTATGGGACCTGCCTGGCATTGGAACTCTGAACTTTCCACCAAAAGATTATCTGGAGAAAGTGAATTTCCAAGTGTATGATTTCTTCATTATTGTTTCTGCCACACGTTTTACAAAACTCGAACTAGACCTTGCCAAAGCAATCACATTCATGAAAAAGAATTACTACCTTGTGAGAACCAAGGTGGACCGGGATTTAGACAATGAGAAGAAATGCAATCCACTTACCTTTGACAGAGAAAAGACCCTGCATCAGATAAGAAGCATGTATGTGAATACCTTCATTGAGAATAACATGGATGCTCCGCAGATTTTCATGGTTTCTAACATGTATTTATCTGACTATGATTTTCCTGTCCTGATGGACACCCTGGTAAAGGATCTTTCTGCTCAAAGGCGCCACAATTTCTTGCTTTCCTTGCCTAATATTACAGAACCAGTCATTGACAGAAAGTGCAACTCTATGCAGCAGGCTATCTGGTTGGAAGCCTGCAAGGCTGGACTTTTAGCTACTCTTCCTGTAGTGGGCATCCTCAGGGATGATGTGGAGAAGCTGAAGGAGAAATTGAACCACTATCGAGTCCTCTTTGGAGTGGATGATGAATCCCTGGAAGTCATGGCTAAAGATTCCCAAGTGCCTGTTGAACAATTGAAAAAACTCATTAAATCCCCTTATTTGTTGGAAACTGAGGGAGAAACAACATTAGGAGAAATGTTTTTAAAATATTTGGAGAAATTTGCATCAGCTACTGGTGGGCCCTTGGCTACAGGTCTCTACTTTAGGAAAACCTTTTACTTGCAATTTCTGTTCCTTGACACAGTGACTGAAGACGCCAAAGTTCTCCTTAGACAAATTTAAGAAAGTAGTTTAAACTCACCTTATCCACAACTACTGACCATGACAAGATCAAATGATTACTATCAAGAAGTCATTAGAAGAATTCCCCCTTTTGACATATTTTCTTTACTCTAGCTAATCGGCTATCACCGTGGAGACACATAAGATATGGACCATGCTCCTTACTATGCCACAGTCTGACAACTCCAGTCCCTCTTCACCTCTCTACACTCCTTTCTGTCTTTAACTCTACCTGTTGAGGAAAATTGTTTTATTTGGACAAAGATTTGTTACATTTGTTTATGTTGCAGAATATGACCTTAACTGTGTAAAAATCATGGTACATTTGGCATTCCAATGTGTGGCCTGTATTTTCATGTAGGGCCTAAAAAAGCTGAGAAAAAAGAAATAAGAAAAAGAAAGAAGCCACATTTAAAAAAAAAACAGCTAAAGCAAGGCCCAGCATTCAATGCTAATAAATCTCTGTGTCATAATTTGGGAGCTGATTCGTGACCTAAAACAAACCCGGATACATTCACCTGCACAATTGAATACACACGCACAAACTTGCACACATTCATGAATGAACACATACAACACCCAAAATGCTCAAGCACACGCAAAAGATATGAATAAGTGCTTTGTAGCTAGTTCCTCCTAATCAGCTAATCAAACATTCTAATGGAATCTCAGGAAGCTGGAGGCACTTGCCATGTATGTATGAGGACCAGAGCTCAATTGCCAGAACCGATAGAGAAGTTCAGTGAATGTGGCAGCCGCCTTGTACTTCTACACTCAGAAGGCAGAAACACTGCAACCATGGAGCAGGTTGGCTTGCTAGGCTGTGTAGATCTACAAGCTCGGGATTCAATGGAGAGAAACTACGTTGATGAAAAGGGTAGAAAGTAATGGAGCAGGAGACCCAACATAAGCCTGAAATGTCCACATACATGTGAACATGTACACCCCTCATGGGGACCCATTTTAAATACAAAATAAAATAAGATTCAGGAAGGAAATAAAATCTCAAGTCTTAAACTATGGAAACATAAAAGTTTCATGAAGCTCTCCTCAAGGTTAACAAGTAGTGGGTACATTGTCTTAGTTTGTACCTCTGTTGATGGGATGAAACACTAGCTGTTGGTACGCAGTCAATGAAGGAAGCTGTGTGAGGAGATTCCTGAGAGCTTGGGAGAAAACTCCAGTTCAAAGACAAGAAGACAAATCCACCTGGCTAGAGCTATCATAAAATTTACATATTTACATACAATTTTTTTTTTTTTGGTAACTTCTGTTCTTCTATAGCATGGATTTTTTTCATGGAATGTACTGTCGTGCCCCTCTGAGGTGGAATAAACAGGAGAGGGCTTTACTGTAGATTACCCATCATTTTACCACTAGTATTCAGGATGATGTTTCCAAACAGAAGTTGTCCTCTTGACTCTGTACTGCCTAATCCCAGGTGGCTTTGCCTTTGTGATTGATCATGAATTGAACTTAAGTGATCTTTGCTCACATGATCTTGCTTGATCCTCAAAGTGCCCTCAGAATATAAACTGTGTGATTCCCTGAATAAAGTTGGTTATTGCATGAGACTTTAGATCACGTCGTTTTTAGGCCCTACTCTCCCAAGTTCATGCCACCAAATACAGCAGAAACACTAACTAAATCACCCTGAGGGAGGAAAGTATTTAATAGGAAGCCAAGGAACTGTAGTAGAGACTGTGAGGGAACACTGCTTACTGACTTGCTCTCCATGGCTTGTTCACCCTATTTTCTCACACATCCCAGGATCACATTCCTAGGGATGGCACTCGCCAGAGTGGGCTGTGTCCTCCTACATCATTTATCGTCATGAAAATGCCGCAGAGATATTCCCACAAGTCAATCTTATTAAAGAAATTCTTCAATTGAGAATCCCTCTTGCAAGTGAAGCAAAGTGATTCATGCCTCTAATCCCAGCACTCTGGCGATTCTCTATTTACAGGTTTGATTGTTCATGTCAAAGTCTCCCTGGTCAAAGCCACCATCATATCGGGTAGATTAATACAGGTGCCCATATATCTGCCACATTCTTCTCTTCCCATTGTCAATCATTCTTCTAGAAATGAAAGCCTCAGTACAGTTGGGGAGGAACCTGCAACAAGACAGGCTTTGCCCTTCATTTGGTATCGTTTGCATTTACTTATAACAAGGAACATGGGCAATACATTTTAGGAGAAAAGAAAAACTAAATTCTTAAAAAAAGCTTTTCTGGGTGTGTGGTTAGTATGAATTTTATGTGCAATATAACTGAGCTTTTGAGGACTCGGTGTAAGGAGGGCTGTTTTGAAAAGGTTCAGGTCCATTGTGACCCAGAGTAAATCACAGCATCACTTTAGGCTGTTTGAAGGCAGTTCTTTTTGGACCGGCAGTGACATGATGGTCCTCAGGGTCTGTGGCACCTAGGACATAAGCCTACATTCATTCTTAAGGCTCAGGAGAAAACAGATCACATATCCACAGGTCTGTGCCTCAGACATATGGCTCAGTACTCATTTCCATGAGAATAGATGTGGCAATAACTCTGTCTCTATAGAACAGAGCACAGCACTGCCATGGCTCTAACAGAAAAGGGATGCTCTACACTTGGTAGAACAGGGATCCATTCCAACATGAGTCATAGTTGTCCAAAGGACAGCATTTCAGACCCACAGTGATGAGCCCTGCTGCAGTAGTGACTCTGGATCCTTGGATAAATGGACACGGCAGTTACTAGACTCTTTAAGGCCAGTGAATAAAGTAAGAAAATAAACTGTAAAGAGAAGGGCATAGCTGGGCCTTGGGTCTTGAGGTCATGAGAGACTGAGAAAGGTTTAGATAACAAGATTTCTTCAGAAGAGCAGGGCAAGTGTTCTTCCCATTGAGACTGATCTTTAATCAAACCCTCATTCACAGAAGACTTCCTCAGTAGCCTGAGTAGCACTCACCAGCACTGCAAATACAAGCCACAAAGCAGGAAGCTTTCTGACTGGTACCAGCATATTTATATGTCCTGTGACCAAAGTATATGGTGTTTTCATCAATAGTCTCTTGCCATCAGATTCTGTTGGGAATTCAAGAGTAAAATCAGTAGCCTGCATTGAGGTGTTTGGGACCTCCCCGATCAACAACTGAGGGGCAGGTACCACACAGCTGACACTGAGTTTCTGTTTGATGCCTCCAATAGCTCTTCTTGTTGCTAACTTCATTCCAGAAATAATTAAGTTCCAGACTCTATCTGGAATAATTATAATCCAGAAATTGAGGGTACATCTGTGAAAGATCTTATGTTGAGGTTAAAATGGGTGAATTCACTTCTAGTCTGGACCTTTGATGTAGGAAGACAAGAGCTTTTAATATGTCCATGCTTCCTGTCGACAGAATATATAAGGACATAGAAGGAGGCAGCTTTTGCTGTTTCCCTGCTTGCCCTCACCTTGCCAGCACATCCATTCCATCACTAGCACTGGAGTCTGTTTTGTCGGGATTCCAGAGTGTACAGAAGACCAGCTGAGACCTCTAGCCTTGTGGGACTGATGAACTTCTAGATTCTTGAGTTTCCTTTCACATCTAGTCATTGTTGGATCAGCTAGACTATAGACTGTAGTCATTCCAATAAATCATATTTTATATATAACAGGAGAGATTAATTCTCAGTCTGTGACTCTAGAGAAACCTGACTGATACAATAAGCTCTGTCTTCTTGGATGAGCATTACCCCTTCATTGCTGTGAACAATAACTCCAGTTAAACTCCTTAAGCACACATGAAAGGTAGGATCCAGTACAGTGCTGTCTGACATCTCTCCCTCCTCCTCTGCTCTGCCCTCTGACCTCTTCCCCATTAGTTACCTTTCCCTCTTCATACCCCTTGTGTTCTACTAATCTCCTCTGTATTATTCAGAGATCCTTAGGAGAAGAGAATCAATGGAATGAATAAATGTCTTATACATGCATAATATATAGAATAATATATTAAGGCAGCTTACATTGGAATAATATCAACAAATGAATCACAACTGAGAGGCTGAGAACCTGATAGTTGTTCCATACTTCTAGTATGACTTAGCAGTTGGGGTAGTCCCACAATGATTTTCTCTCCCTCGGCAGGCTGACAACCCCGTAGTTGTTCAGGCCACAAAGTTGGATACATCTACAATCCCAATCTCGTACTGAAATTCTGAAAGCTTCCTGGAAATTCACTGATCCTGAAGTCATGTTAGAAGCCTGGAAAGATTTGTTCTAGTATCAGTGAAGGAATGAGTAGAAGAGACAGGGTAAATCAAACCATAGTAAAAAGGAAGTTCAAGCCATACAAGGCAAGTGATTGTTACCCTGCCTTACCCTTGGTATCTGGGTGTGTATTCTTCCCTCAACCAAAGCAATTGGGACACTTCTTCAGGTGAGGCTCCCTATCAAGAGAATCTAATTTGTGGCCAGTTGACATTAAAGTCAACTTCAATACACTCTGTTAAGATCTCTCTTCCCTGTGTGCAGTGACTCCTTTCCAGTTTTCTAGAGTCTATGGTTATTCTAAGTGAATGACTCAAATCTAAAGATCCTAAGTTAGAATCTATATTTTATTAACAAAAATATTAAGTACGTGTTTCTCTGAGTGTGGATTATATTACTCGACATGTATTCAAGATGCATCCATTTACTTGAGAATTTCATAACTGTACTGTTGTTTACAACTGAATAATATTCTATTGTGTGTATATATCATACTTTCAGGCTAAAGATGTAATAAGGTAGTTGTACCGTTCTTTGTAACTGCAAAGCATAGCCTGCTGGTAAAAGACCTGATTGAGAAGAATATTTTGATTGTCTACTCGGTTAATCTATTACAAGTTGCTGGGTTATGAGTGTTTATGGGTCCTTGGGATAATTTGTCTTCCACCTGCAACATGTAAAATGTTGAGCTAAGTAAGGGATATAGAAAACATGCTGGTCTTTATTGTTTGTTTTTTATTCACTTATTTATTCACTTGAAAAGCAGAATGTAACCATGGTATAATTCTTAAACTGCTTGAAAAATTTGATTGAGGTATATAAAATGTAAAAAAAAAAAAGCATGCAGTAGAAAGAACATGGAAAGAATACAGAAAAATGTAAAGACGGAAACCATCAAGAGAGAGTGTGAGAGTGTGAGTGTCTTTTTCTTTAGCCCCCTCAGATAAAAGTCTTAGAACGTGCTCACTCTGTAGCTTCCTTTTGAGGTCTGTGCTGCTGGGGGCTGGCTCTCCAGGCAGCGATATCAGGCCTTCCATGAGAGAAGAATGTGCTCTTAACTGTTGAGCCATCTCTGTACACCTTTAAAAGAAGATTTACTTTATTATTTTAAAAGTATTCATCTTTGTATGTGTATGAGTATCTGAGGACAGGTCCTTCTATTTTGGGGGGAGGGTTATAATGTAATTACTACATTTCTCCCTTTCCTTTCCTCCCTCCATTCCTTCCCATGTGCAACTCCCCACTCTCCTTCAAAGTCACGGCCTTTTCTTTTATTGTTTTTCCACACATATGTACATATGTACAGTTATATTCCTAAACATAACCTGTTCAATGTTATAATGTTAAATGTATGTCTGTTTTCAGGGCTGACCATTTTCACTGGACAACAAGAAGACCACATCTCCTGATCACAGCTTTACTCGGTGGCCTACAATTCTTGCATAGGATTGTGTTCTTAAGGCCTTTCACTTCCAAGTCTGGCATCTTCGTTAGTCATCCCCTTCAGCTCACCTCTGGGCAGTCGTGTTGGTAAGACGATTAGTCTACTACATCATACTAATGCTTCCCATATGCTCATGGGTGAAGATATCATTCATTGGCACACGAGCAATCACCATCCACTGATAAAAACTGATTTTCATTCCCTCAGGATAATCAACTCCCTCATCTATGGGAGGAGCTCCATTACCCATTTCCCTCTGCATACTGGAGTATTGATGACTTGATTTTGGGTGGATTTGTGCCAACAACCACAACTTCTGTGAGTTCATGAGTACATCGTCCTTGCTACATTCAGAAGACACTTCTTCATAGTTTCCCTGATTTCTGGCTCTCACATTTTTTTCTGCCTCTTCTCTGGTGCCCCTGAGCCATGTGAATAGAAGTGTATGGGGGTTTGAATGTAATTGGTCTCTATAAAGTTCTGATTGACCAGTAGCAAGGCAGGAAATATAGACAGTCAACCAGACTAAGAGAATTTGGTGAAGCGGAAAGGCAGAGAATCTGGGCCGGCTTGAGCTTCTGAGACCTTTAAGCCACCCCCCAACCCATGACACACTTTTCTCAACAAGGTCACACCTCCTAATAGTGACACTTCCTTTGAGCCTTTAGGGGCATTTTTATTCAAAGTACTGCAAAGATTGAGGAGGCTGATCAATGGACAACCTCACTTCTGTATAAAGCACCCATGGTAAGACAAGACAGGCAATCCTCTTCAACTCATCTTTGGTTCTTCTGATCTCTGGCAAGGCATCAGTTGTGTTGTATAATCTTTTCTTGGGGAGAAACAATTATCTATTCACCCAATCTAGGAACCCATGACAGACCTCTAAAAAAACTCC